TAAACATATTTTACCTTTCCCATTTATTTATCCTAGTAGACAAAAGTAACTAAAACGGCCTATATGTGTTTAAATCACATTACCAGCTCATCCTCGCGGGTACCACTTAACTGGGTGAAAAGAGGCATATTTCGAACAATGTTACATATCTAAGGAGATGCTACATGTAACATGTGCTTCAATGTGGGGCAGGACCGAAGTTCTAGAAGCTGCCGAGCACGGTCATCCAGACACTTGCTCCACGAGAAGAATGTTGTTGAGTGAGTGAGTTTGGGACTTGAGTAAGTTAATTGGTAGGTGGTTGGGTGGTTGGGTTGGAACTATTCTTGCCTGGAATCCCCAAGGGGACAGATCAACTTCGATAGTCATTTAAACTGGCCACAGTTGAGCACAGCTTGAAGCGTAGGATGCAATTATACACGTATGTTTATAACCATGCAGGACGTCCGCTTAAAATACGACCACTCCTCTCAGTATGATCTATTGATTTACTCTTAATTACCTTCACGCCACGCAGACAAAACATGCAGTAATCACCTCAGCAAATGGCGATGACGATACAACTATGTGTCTTCAACAGATGTCACATGCACGAGGGCTGGTCGAAAGGTTCTAAGCCTTACAAGCAAAACCAACAATTGTGAAAGTGTTTTCAATTTTATTTTTCAACATTATCTCCCTGCTTTGCAGCTCATACCGATAGTAAAGCTCTCAATTCCAGTCAGGAAGAGGTTTTCTGAAGCCACCCTGAAAACCCATTCACGGCAACATTGTGGTCATCGTTGTGCTCATAGCGCTTTCCACGAAGGTGTTCTTTCAGTTTAGGAAACAGGTGGAAATTACTTGGTACGAGGTATGGCGAGTACTAATGGTGAAGAAGCTCTTCAAACCCACATTGTCGCACAGCGGCCTTTGCAAGTCGAGAGGTGTGAAAAGAGGCATTGTCATGAAGGAAAGGGGTAGAACTCCAGCAGTCAGCATTCCTCGCCTCTTTTCTTTGATAGAATCTCTCAGGCGATGAAGAATATCAACATAGTAGGCACCGGTAATCGTCTTTTGACTTTCTAAGTAATCAACAAAGATCACACCCTTTGCATCCCAGAATACAGTGGCCATAACTTCCTTCACTGATCTTAAAGACTTGAATTTCTTTAGTGTCGGAGAAGTGAAATGGTGCCATTCCATGGATTGACGTTTTGACTCGGGGTCATAGTGGGGACATGTTTCATCACCAGTTACTACTTCCTTTTTGAATTTGACGAATTCCTCCTCAATTTGCTATATATTTTCTCTGGCAATGTCATTCCTTTTGTCCTTAAGGTCAGAATTTAGAAACTTTGGCACCCAAAGAGCAGATATCTTGTTCATATGTAAATGTTTATGATTAATTGCTTCAATGGATTCTTGGCTTAATCCTGTATCTTCCTCATATCTACCAGTATAGGTTTTTCTTTTTCCTTGATTGAATAGCTGGAATATTGCGGCGTTAAACAACAAACAAACAAACAAGCATCATTGATAGAAGTTAAGGGACGTCCAGACCTTGGGTCACCATCAAGGCTTGTTCTCACAGCCTTAAACATAGCTGCCTTACGTTTAACAGTGGAATCGCAAGGGCACATCTTCCAATACATTTGTGACATGCGGTCATAAATTTGTTTGGGAGTACTTTTCTCTAAAGTAAAAAAACCTATGACTGCTAGGTACTCGTTCTTTTCCATGTCTGTGTCCATTTGGACCCATATCACGTTCAACTGGTCTCAACAGATCAAATACACTTGCAATGAACTACTCAAACAATGTACTTCATTTACAAGTTCACTTTCTTATGGCGCATAGTTGAAAGTTAGTAGGGCTAAGAACCTTTTGACCAGCCCTAGTAAATAAAGCGACAAAACCCGTTCCAAATCCAATATAATTTCTGCATAAAGCAGAGTCGATTGTACAATTCCGACTATATCATAAGCATGTGTTTATGAATCACTATCAAATAGTAATGATACCAGGTGTTCGCGAAAAGGTAGCACCCATCACAAACACAAGCAAACGCAAACGGTTTGTTCAAAATAAGTATGATTTTATCAACGAATATTCAGCTGTTGTTGATGGAGCAGACACAGTCAACAGACTTGCCTACTGTGCACGATGTGAATCTATCCATACACGTCATACATATGATTATTGATTAATGTTATGTTTATTATTCCGTCACATACAATATTTCATTTGTAATAACTCTCCTTTTCAAATTAGTTTCACACCCCGTCAGAGAGCATGTAGTGTCAAATGCACTCACTCGGTAAACAGATGTTCTCTTCACGTAAGCTATTATTCAGAAATACAATGCCCAGTATGATATATTACAATGACGCATGTATCCTAGGTAATATGCACAGATTGTTTTATATTGTAGCAGATCGCAGCCTTTTTACAGTCAATAGGCAGTTCAAATTCTAGATGTTGTTAGCCTACACTTATAGTTTTGTTAAGCTCTTACTGTCGGTCCTCGATGACGATCCCGCCTGAATATTAGTTGTCCTGCTTTGAGTCCAACAACAACCAATTTTTTTCTTTTCGTAGGTATTAAATGACAAAACCCTTTCTTTTATAGATAAAATCCCTGCTAAAAAGGCCATTGTACGATTCCGTCTCCATGATAGGCATAAGCAGTACTAAATAGTGATGATACCAGGTATTCTTGTCTTTTGTCAATGACAACATTACTCACTCGCACAGTCCCTACTGATGTAAGCAGCAAATCTTCCAAATCAGTGGTACCATAGGGCCTTCGTCTGTGTTGTGACCATGGATGTCGTGGCGTCTTTGGAATACCAGAAACAGACCTTACCCATTGACGATGGCAGGTCGTTGGTTGGAGGACTTACATCATTGCATTTTTTATCAGGAGGGTATTCGAAGGAGGGCAGTATTTAAGCTGTATTTTTTCATCTATTCACCTCTCAACTCCGTAAGGGTTCAATCTTAAAAACATTTTAAATAATCACATCTCATTGCCATGACTTATGGCATCACGAAATGACGCCATGTGGAATTCTTATAGGTATGATAGTTTCTTTCTCCATTGTATAGTGACAGGTTCCTAGTGGGTTTTTTTTCTCTTTGACCACGGGTTAACTGCAACGTCAGCAACAAACCAGCTGTATCACGGCGGCCTGTAATGCCACCCCACACCATAATCGATTCCCAACCAAGTCTGTCATAAGATCTGGGGTTCACATTGGCTTGATTTTTATTTCGACATCGCCAGACATGCCTATCAAGGAAGTGGAAACTGAATCGGGACTCGTCTGAAAACATGGCACGTGACCAGCGACGATTACACCAGTTTCGATGCTGTGTGCACCATTAACATTTGTTGGCAATATGACGATGTGTAAGGAGTAGCACAAAACGTGGAGATTAGCTGCATGTAAACGACTTCTAATCGTCTGGCCCGTAACTGGGCGGTGGGGTTGCCAAGTGGTTAAAGCGTTTGCCCGTCAAGCTGAAGACCCGGGTTCGATTCCCCACATGGGCAAAATGTGTGAAGCCCATTTCTGGTGTTCCCCGCCGGGATATTGCTGGAATATTGCTAAAGGCGTCGTAAAACCAAACTCACTCACTCACTGGCAGCAGCCGGTTTAGCAATTTGATTTGCCATTTCAGCTCGATTTCGTAGAGCCTGGAATCGGATTCAGTCTGTGGAACACGTGGTTGACGTCGAAGGCGCCGATCCATCTCATCCCACATGTGCTCGATTGGTGAGAGATCAGGGGAGCGAGCCGGCCAGGGAGATGACATTCACGTTGTTTTGTTGAAGAGAATCCTGAACAATTTGAGCAATATGACGACGCAAAAACGGTAGAACAACAGGACTGATGATCTCGTCGCGGTAGCGCTGTCCATTAAGATTTCCCTCTACCACTATCCAACGGGTCCCCTGTCTTGCTGAAATCCCACCCCATACCATAACGCTGCCGCCCCGAACCGATCTTCTTCCATGACACAATGATTGACGTAACGTTCATCTCGACGTCGGTACACTCGAATCCGTCCATCGCTGTGGCTGAGGTGAAAACGAGACTCGTCACTGAATAGAATTCGAACTTGTCCCCACTGCATGGCCGTCCAGCGTAGACGCTGTCTGCACCACTGTAGACGTGCTTGACGGGGGTTTCCTGTCACAATGGGACGTCTGGCGGGTCTTCTGGCGACAATCCCTGCACATCTGAGGGGACGACGTACGGTTTGTGAAGATATTCGTCGAAGGCCAGGGATGTTTCTTGCAGTCACTGTTGCTGGCTGGAATCGATTTCGTAGATGTGTTGTTTGAATCCAGTTGTCTTGTCGATTATTGGTTACGCGGGGCCCTCCACTCTGACTGCATTCGTCTGTTGCCAACGTTGCCATAAACACCAAATGGTGTTTCTGTGGACGTTAAATTGTCTTGCAACATCACGTTGACTTGAACCTGCTTCAAGCATACCAATGGCTCGCAGACGCTCATTTTCGGACTGGCGTGGCATTTCGTTATGTTGAAAAATTGCGTAATTTTGTTGTTTTTCTGAGTGGTTGTTGTCAGCACGATGTTAAACAATGTATATGGAATCCAGTTAACGCACATGTTTTTATACCTATTCTTGGGTAGTGAAATGCATGGGGTTTGCATAAAAGTCAACTTTTGCATGGAATGAATGCTCTTCTGTAGCAGTTGCGTTTTTGTGACTTGATTCCATACATGTACTACAATATTGAAAACCAAACTTTACTTGTTTGAAAAATACACTAAAATATTGGTGTCACAGGAACTTTTGTTGTTGAGTATATTATTTATCTCCTACTTTTCAAATCAATAATCGGCACAGCACATAAAATTCCACCTGTTTACAAATCGATGCGAATGACACTTCACCATATAGAATAGGCGACTACTTTCAGTGGTAAAACATCACGTGGACCAATCAGAAGGCCGTTATTTGGAGGTATCTATATAAGTTGCCATCGATACTGAATCAGCGTCAGTTGCAAGTACACTCTGGGTCTCGCATCACAGTGACAATGGACGCCTTGGTTTCAACTGCTGTAGTTTGCCTGATTGTCAGTGCAGTGCACGTCACTGCGAACCTTGGCGGCAGCAGCTTTCTTGGTTACATAAAGGTTTACAGCTCTGGTGAATCTAATAACAGCACAGGAACTGGATTCCCAAGTAAGTCCTTACATCATTCCTTTGCACGCGAGGTTTTAGCTAACCATACCAGTATTAGTTTCTTGTTTTAGTAATACTAGCAGTTGCTTCGTTACAATGTATACATATAACATTCAACCACGTGGCTCTTTCTTTTTCAAACGCAGAAACGCAGGGTTCCTCTTGCAAAAACGTTTCTCTGACACCGCATTTGCACATATCGCATATCGAAGTGGAGCCGAGTCTTTGAGTCACCCGGAAGTATTATCAGAAAGGACTATAATCTATAGATGTAAACACATTTGATGATACATCTGCGTTGATTTTGACAGCCCAGGCCAAGTCGGATCCCAATCACTTCTGATAGAGACTATGTTGAGAATGTAGAGGGAAAAGGGCTTCACTTTGAACACCTCATGTTCTTTAAATACCGCTATCTGAGACACGATAAAGTGGTATATAGGTAGATATGATACTAGGCTATAGGTGTAAACACATTTGAAGATACATCTGTGAGGTTTAAGTTGATTTTGACAGCTTGGGCCATGTCTGACCGAACACGTGTGAGAGATATATTGTTAGGAAAATACAGTAAAAGTGCTTCACTTGAACTGACCAGTTTTCTTAAAATTCGATATACTGTGACATTATAAAGTGGTATACAGGTAGATATAATACTAATATATAGATGTAAACACATTTGATGATACATATGTGTGTTTAAAGTGGACCCAACACAAGCCAAACACTTTTGATAGAGATTATTTTTTACGTTAGCTTTCATTTCTTTTACAAATATTTTAATAATCAACCAAATATATATCAATTATACCAATTAAATCCGTTTAAAATATATTACCACTACACTACGTTTGATTAGGAATTCCCCGTTTATAAACTAATAAAGCAAAGTTAAATATCATATATATATATATATATATATATATATATATATATATATATATATATATATATATATATATACATGGACGGATTTACCCAAATATGTTCTTGCAACAACATGAGAGCAATGTATTAGAAACAGTATATACAGTAAACTACGTTTATAACGAACACGCTTATAACGAACTGACCGAACATATTTTTTAGTCCCGACCATTTGTTGTATAAATGCTATATATACATGTATGCTTATTACGAACTAAACTTAATGGTCCCTTCGAGTGCTGTAAAACCGTAGTTTACTGTATACGGCTTAAAGACTTTATGTTCGTATAGCCTACACGACACATATTGATAGCAAAAGAAATAAGGAAACACATTTAATAAAAAAATATTGTTTGCAAATATAGTATATATATTGATTACATTATGACAAAAATTAAATGTAATGGAAATGTTAATGTACAGGAGGAAAGACGATACTGACAAAATAATAACAGAATTTATTTGGTGTAGTCTGGCCATTAGGCCAGAAGTACAGATGGCGAATAATATTTGGTACATTGTGACAGAGCGCTTGAATTTATATTGGCTTAGGAACTTCTAAGTTTAAACCTTTTTTCAAGATAAAGAGCTCGCTGAAATTAAATGCTGCCATCATTTGTTATGAGTAACGATACACACTTGTACATGGTAGGATATTCATAACAATATGAGGGCAAATACCTTAACCTTAAGTTAGTAGAAGCTGGGCATAAAAACAGTGCACGGTATTCATCATCTAAGTCTTCTTTACAGAAATTGCATAGACTGTCAGCAAAGTCATAGTCACCATTTTCATGTATTATAAAATCATTTGAACAACATCTATCTTTTGTTAAAGCTCTTATTAAATTTACAGTTATTATCAATGATAGATATTTTTCACGTTGTAGAAAGGATTTGTGAAGGCAATATATATCTTGTCTGGGGTGAATTAGATATACAATCTGACCAATCTTGCTTAAACAAATCTCTGGACCGAATATTTCCAGCATGTGTTTGATTTAACTGATATACCTGTGGTTGGGGACAATCTGGATGAGACAGAAATTTTATGAACAGCCATGATATTAATGAGTGCAATTACTGTAATGATGATGTTATAAATAATCTCCTAAATGCTGATATAACTGAAGAAGAAGTATCATCAGCTATACATAACTTGAAACTGGGTAAATTAGTAGGACCGGATGGAATTCATCCTGAAATGTTGAAATGTTGCAGCATTTCAATCATACCATACCTAACTATAGTTTTTAATAGGATTATGTATAGCGGCGTATTCCCTTACGACTGGGCAAAGTGTATAGTAGTTCCTCTGCATAAGAAAGATAATATAAATGATGTCAATAATTATAGAGGAATAACGCTGATGGATGTATTTGGAAACTTGATGACTACAGCTTTAAATGAAAGACTCAAGACTTTTGCGGAAGTTTATGACACAATTCCTGAAGCTCAAGTCGGATTTCGAAGCAGATACAGTACAATTGATAACAGAGTAACATTAAAGTGTTTAGGACAAAAATATCTCTCTAAACGTCGGGGAAGATTTTATTGTTTGTTTGATGATTTCCGAAAAGCGTTCGATTTTATTAACCGAAAACTCTTGTGGTATTCAATAATGAAAAAATGGAATACACGGTCGTTTATTGGTGGTTTTGAAGGATCTATACTCTAAGATTCAGTGTGCTGTCAGGACATCAAATAACTCTCTTTCAGATTATTTCGAATCACCGAGCGGCGTTCGACAGGGGTGTGTGTTGAGTCCGTTTATCCTTGAATTACAGTTTATGACAGAAAGTAGTGATTTGCGAGGGATTTTTATTGGAAAGGAGTTCATGGACATATTACTTTTACAATATGCAGATATTGGTGTATACTCGATGACACAGTTATAGGTCTGCAGAGAATAATTGACATTTTGTCCAATTTTTGGTAAAATGTTGGGGACTTGAAATTAACATGTCTAAAACCGAACTATTGATTTTCAGAAGAGGTAGCACTCTTAGTTATCTGGGTGTTCTGTTTTCAAATAGATTGTCTTAGGAGTTGGTAGATATGTATAAAGCACAGCAATATTGCCTGAGTGTGGAAGATATGGTTTGCCTGTGGATTATTATATGAAGTGTGTTAAATACTGGCTTTAACTTATTAGGATGAATGATGAAGGATATCCCCGACCGTGTAATTTATAAATGAAGAAGCTGGATGAATGTGGTAGAATTACTTGGGCAACTTATGTTAAATATTTAGTCGACATTTATGGATTTGGTGTGGCACGGGCTGAATATTGCTGATGTTAATTGTTTCTTGCAGCTGTTCAGAGTCCTGTAATTTAAGGTTTTATTCACACCTTAAGATGTTATTGGATATGGAATATTATGTTACAGCTTTCAGAGACCATAGACGTATACTGTGCCTGTTGAGATTACCTATATGGGGGTAATCTGGGCAGAAGAGAGGATATTGTTTATTCACAACTCTTTTGTCGGCTATGTTACAATTGTTGTATTGAGGACGAAGTCGATTTTGTTTTGTCTGCCCGTTTTACGCATCATTAAGACAACAGTATATTCCTGTAACAATCAATGTTTAATAACTTTAGCAATCTCTTCAATAGCCAAAATGGCTGTATACTCAGAAATGTAGCTAAGAATATGAAGGAAGCTTTATTATTACGTACAAACACCTAATATTATACACTAAGTATTCTTTTCAATGTAAATTGCCCCAATTGTGTAACTACATGTATATATTACTGAAATGTAAATGAGCCTATGGCCTTCCATACATAAACAAATATAAGAACTAAACAAATCTCTTGTTCTTTCATTAAATGTATAAAACATCAACTAACAACTCAACAAATAATACTAATACAGTTGCATAAATCACTAAAATCACCTTGAATAAACGAGTGCGTGTATTTTACTGATGATGTTTTAGAATACATGGGATGTTACTTGGATGACGCCAAGAGGATGATCGCTGCTATTTGGGTTGAACGGAACGACATGACACGTGGGTGGTGTTTAAATCATTGCAGGAGGAGTCGTCACAAGTATGCAGCGTTGCAGGTAAGCTTTGTAATTAAGCATATCCAAATGTCATAAAGTTTAAACGTAAAAATGCATCTGGTTAACTGCTGACAATGAATTTGATATTTGATGAGCCTTGTGATGGGGAGATTTTCATATTTTAAAATGTTCTTTGGTTATGAGATGCAAAGTCATAGGTTATTTTGGTTTCAGTTCTACAGCTATTGCTTCCGCTTAGACTTTGATGTATTCCGGGAACTACACTTGTTTTACCCCTTGGCCAAGTAGAGTTCTCTTGTAGTGTGTAATGTAAAGTGATCATTTTCTCTTTTTTAGCACTACGCCAATTGCTTATGTGGAGATTCCATCAACATAGTCAGATATCCAAAGAAACCGGAAAGTGACTGCAATCAACGTTGCAGGGGAAACACAAGTGAGATTTGTGGCGGGGGATGGAGAAATTCCCTTTACATGTTGTTCTAACAATAAAATCATCAGCCGATCAAACATTGAGCATTTTACAATTCTGTCAAATATTTTTTAAATATTTGTTTTGGAGTTTTGTTTCTGTCAAATCTTTCTTTTAATATTTGTCTCTTTAAATCGAACATACAATAATGAATAATTTGAACATAGTATGCATCTGGAAAGGTGCAAAGATGTAAACAGCACCATCATCACTATCTCCTGAACGGCCAAACAACTGACTAACGTACCACTTTATACACGTTTGGATATAGTGCAAACATGATCTCTCCAGATTCAAGAATTTTTTGGAACTCAGCTAATCAGTCGAGCTCAGACTTCAGTAATAACAGATAACAGATGCTACTGTGTTCGTCGACCCTTGAAGATCCGGGGTAGAATAGGTCCTCAGCAACCCAGGCTTGCCGTAAACGTCGACTATGTTTGTCGTAAGAGGCGACTAACGGGATCGGGTGGTCAGGCTCGCTGCCTTGGTTGATGCATGTCTTCGATCCCAATTGCATGAATCGATGCTCATGATATCAATCACTTGATTGTCTGGTCCAGACTCGGTTATTTACAGACCGCCGTCACATAGATGGAATATTGCTGAGTGTGGCGTTAAACAACAAATAAACAAACCAACCAACTACTGTGTTCGTCAATGGCCAATATGTTTATTGCAGATGGCATGAAATTAACCCTAAAAAAGTTCTATGTAAAACAATATATTACAAACACATTCTATACACATCACTTCATAAACATACTAACACAGAAGGTAGTATTTGTTGTAAATGCACTGGCTATGGTTGTCAGTGTTTAATACTTTCAAGTTAACACATACTGTTTATGTGCAAGTAAATACACCATCATATACATATATATGTCAAGAGTAGTTCTACCTCGATATATAACCAAATGCCTTCACTAGATATACAATATGCACAGTTAATGCATTTAAGACGTCCCATTTTAATTCTGGAAACCCAAAAGTCCAGAAACTCTACGCTCTTTGCCCAGTCTCGGTTAAAGGTATTTACTAAATTAAACATGCCGTTTTCATGGGAACATACCAAGGAAGAAAAAATGAAAAAAAATTGTTTAAAAACTCAATATTTAGACTATGTCGCCCATGGGCCTGCCCATGGGCGAAGTCTGGCCCATGGGTAGGCCCATGGGCAGGCCCATGGGCGAGAATATGTTCCTCTACTTAAAACTCATGTTTTTGTTTCGCAAATACATTTAATGTATTCATTCAAGTATCATGACACAAAATTTAACTCATTTTAACTTAATTCAACGATTTTATAGCGATATTGAAATATTTCGCCCATGGGCGAGAAAAAGGTTTGGCCCATGGGCGAGAATATGTTCCTCTACTTAAAACTCATGTTTTTGTTTCGCAAATACATTTAATGTATTCATTCAAGTATCATGACACAAAATTTAACTCATTTTAACTTAATTCAACGATTTTATAGCGATATTGAAATATTTCGCCCATGGGCGAGAAAAAGGTTTGGCCCATGGGCGAGAATATGTTCCTCTACTTAAAACTCATGTTTTTGTTTCGCAAATACATTTAATGTATTCATTCAAGTATCATGACACAAAATTTAACTCATTTTAACTTAATTCAACGATTTTATAGCGATATTGAAATATTTCGCCCATGGGCGAGAAAAAGGTTTGGCCCATGGGCGAGAATATGTTCCTTTACTTAAAACTCATGATTTTGTTTCGCAAATACATTAAATGTATTTATTGAAGTATCATGACACAAAATTTAACTCATTTTAACTTAATTCAACGATTTTATAGCGATATTGAAATATTTCGCCCATGGGCGAGAAAAAGGTTTGGCCCTTGGGTAGGCCCATGGGCAGGCCCATGGGCGAGAATATGTTCCTTTACTTAAAACTCATGATTTTGTTTCGCAAATACATTAAATGTATTTATTGAAGTATCATGACACAAAATTTAACTCATTTTAACTTAATTCAACGATTTTATAGCGATATTGAAATATTTCGCCCATGGGCGAGAAAAAGGTTTGGCCCATGGGCAGGCCCATGGGCGAGAACATGTTTCTTTACTCAAAACTCATGTTTTTGTTTCGCAAATACATTAAATGTATTTATTGAAGTATCATGACACAAAATGTAACTAATTTTTACTTAATTCAACTATTTTACGGCGTTATTAAAATATTTCGCCCATGTTTTCGTCAGTCCCTTTCAAGCATCAACTAAATGTTTGCAAAGTATATTGTATCATGTGAAATATACTTTATATTATATCATTACATTACTATTTAAAAAGGGCTTTTGGTTGGATGTTTCCTTTAGTTCTACAAATTTCAGCTGTTTTACATATTGTAGAGATCTTTAATGAACCCGGCCTTACCTCTCAAAACGTTTTGACAGTTTATCATACGAATTCATGTGCGTGTACTCAAATTCATTGGAGTTATTTTCCACAACATTAAATTTTAGTTAGTTTCTATTTCATTTCCCATTTTATGTCCCGTTGATACATCACACTGGGCAATTACGTGACACTAGGTATGCAATATACAGGTACGCGTGCGCGTATTTTAATGAAAAAAACTATTCGTCTTTTATTGCATAACGTTTGGCTGAATATCTTACATTCTAACGAAATCTCGAAATAATTATTTAATTACATGCGGTTTCGAACTGACCAGTAGGAATTATGTTTCAATGCGATTGAGGAAAACGTGAGTTAATATTGTGACACTAAAGCAACTTTTAACTGCATTGTCACTTTTGGTATGAAAATGGTAACAGTTCAGAAAAAACAACAGCCTTCTTATGATAATTCTCATTAGTACGTTGTATCTAATTACAGTGTCGGCCTTATTTACAGGTGATTCTACAATACCTGCTCTCGGTCAATTACGATCTACCACACCACGCGTGAATAAACAGTTATGCAGGTGTTGCTGTGGGCAAATACCTAGCCTGAAAATGTCTATTTTTTTTAGGATACATGTTTTACAAATAGTATAGAAACAATAAACAAGGTCAATCCGTACTAATTACCTAGTGACGCACGTAACAACGACTGTCAATAGGGAAAATGGTGAAAACAAATTGAATAGATTTTAATAAAACATTATTGTACTAAATAACTCGCAAAAGCGGTGACTAAAATTGTTTGACCTAGTTATGTGTGTTGTAAACTGACGAATAGCAAGTAATTGTCATGCTGTACGCATGGTTCCATGTACAAATTCAGTTATACAACCGGTATGAAACTGAGAACTTAGATACCAAGTACATCCTGCATTCACACACGGAAGCAATATACTTGTGTGTATGCCCTCTCCTCTAAAAAATGTATCACTAAAGTATTTGCATTGTAATAAATATAGTAATGATAAAACTTGGTAATTTGGTAGGTCTTCGACAGATATGATTTTCAGTTTTTTTACACCTTTGATTGATACGGATTACGTACCTGTAGTCTAGTCATTGTATCTAATGTATCTGCTTGTTAGAAATTTCAAATGTCTTGTTATAGCACTGTTCCTAAAATACGGCAGTTTCTTTTATCGGGTATAAATAGTTGATTCGTCTTGTCACGCAGTCATTTTTACTTGATCGAATGATTTCCACAAAAAATTACGGCAGAGAGTTTTGTATTTTATTATATTTTTAGAAGATTTTAGAAGATGCTTACATCACTGTATCTCAGAACGTAAAACTGATAACATTCAAACATGTAATTAGTACACAGTTAATTGTTACATATAATTTCCTGCATATTCCTTTTTGAACAAAAATCCTACATGTATACTGATATCGATGTCCACTGTTAAAAGGGTATTAGTGCAGTCAGCCATGGTAAATGGAGAGACAATAATAAGGTGATTAATTATAGTCTGTTGCAGAATATGCGGTATAAGTGTAGTCATGGATACATATACACATTACACATATACAGATGAAATACACGATATGATGCAGTGCAAGAACAAATTAAGATACGGTTTCTATTAAAAATATTTATACGATTTGGGATTTAATTAGCATGTTTAAATTTTCAGGCCAACACGGCTTAGATACAGCATCGGCATACTCAACTGGAGTTGTTTTCTGCCGGTCGTAAGTTCATTGTTTGACTGAGCACACTCGTGTCGGGGTTGCGATATTTTCTTCTCTTTTGTGGCAGCCTGCCACCGGTCTGAATTTTGAGAAAGGTCTCAGCATGGGACTGTTAATTACTTAATGATGTCCACAAGCTTACAAACTTGTAGATGTTGGGTGCGGTTAGGACCAAACTTTTTCAGCTCAGAGTGTTAGTGGTCCTGGAACCCATAGTGTCAAACAGGTTCTGCACAAAACGTCCATCAGATTCTACTGTTCAGCAACATTGTCACTGAATTTCAGAACTCTGGCATGATATAATAATCAAGGATTTCGAAGATGAACGAGGGGAAAGGCAGACGCACGTGGATTTACCCTCGGGTTATTATTGTCTGGAGTTCACATTTTGGGGAATTTCATATACTAATTGAACAGAGTTCACCTGCACATGTCCACTTTAGTGATACAGACTGTAACCGAAAATGCAATGAGCCGTAGCTCTTAATCCCTTATAACAACGGTAACAACAACCAGGGTGAGGACACAGTAAGGTTAAACCGTGTCCAACAGACAATCTGAGGTGGCTATCTCCCATCAAGTCAGCTCTGTTTTTAAGCGCATATATAGTTATGTTTTTACATATTGAAATAAACGGAATTTAAAAAAATATATTTAACAAACCTACACATTACCAAATACAAAACTTTATAACCCTTTCTAGACTTCGTTCCAATTAACCTGGATCATTCAACTCGCTCGCGAAGGTCGTATGCGACTTTTAAGTGAATACGTCTACAGTGTACAAGTAACTTTTAACTGTATCATATATACTCATGATAAGCAATTATTTTCG